CACTTTGGTTCAATAATAAATATTGATTGATTGATTGATTGATTGATTGATTGATTGATTGATTATATATAAGAGAACAATGTGGCATACAGCAAAATAGACTGTAAAAAAATTAAATGATCAATAAGTTTATAACATGTTTTTCCATAGCTTTCAAAATAACTCATCAAAATAAGTTTCGCAAATAAGTTGAAATTACTTAAAAATCCAAGTAGATTGTACTTAAAAAGTTTTGTAGCAATTTTTTATAGTGTATTATGTTTTTAGCACTTAATATTTTAAAATAAACTAACAAATTACTATTTTATAGTGAAGACACAGGAATTTCATACATTTAACAACATTTCATGCTAGCTTAATTGAATTTAAATAATTCAATAATACACTCTTAGAAGAAACATTCTAGTTCTATATAGAAACTTAAAAGGTTCTATCAGCGCTACGTATTTGGAACCCCTAAAAGGTTCAATACACTCTTAAAAAAAGGGTTCCTCTGGGTTCTATATAGAACCCTGGGGTTCCATACTTGGCCAATAGAACCTTTTTACCAAAAAAATGGTTCTATATAGAACCATTTTGGAGTTCCATATATGAAGCGGGGGATGGAACCATTTCTGGTTCTAAATAGAACCATTTCTTCTAAGAGTGTAGTTTTCAAAATTGGAGGGGGATGGGGGGGCTTAATACCGTACTTCAAAACAAACAAAACAATGCAACAACATATCTATCATAGTGCATACTGTATTTTGTTTCAAATTTTTAAATCTTTCATCCAATAAAGAAGAATCGTTTGGTCAAATGTGGATGCTTTAGTAAAACACATCTAGTTTAAAGTGAAGCATTTCTCTAAAAACACCAAACGTTTTGGATGTCATTGTTTTTGGTGGTGTCTTACTTCATCTCCGGCTCTTCTTTGTCCTCTTTGCTTGGCGTGAGCTTCAAGCTTCCTTTCCTGGCACGAGGGCATCCTGACAGACTGGGAAGGAACATGACATATGTGACGAACCTTTCAGAAGTTCAAGCGTGCAGACGCGTGTGTGTGTGGGAAAGATACCGCGTGATGTTTCAAGCTCTGACACCTGTCGTGTTGCCACTGAACAGGGGTCATTACCTCAACAGCCGTCAAATGCCACAAAGTATTTACTCAATGGCGATTACCCGCTTTTAAATTTAACCCACTGAGCGCCTTTGTTATTATAGCAGAACATCTTGAATTAGAAAACACGGGTGTAAAAATGAGACGTTATGATGTGTTAAAAAGCATGACCGTTTATGTCGTGCAGAAACATAAAAAAATCTGTGATTAATGAGACGCTCACCTCCTATGAGATGCATAGTTTCCCGTCACATGACCTGAGCCGTCACAACCAGGAGTCGGGCACCTTTTAAAAGAAATAGAAATTTATGATTCACGATTCATATTCCATATATATTTTTTCCATTTATTTACATCATCACATTACACTTACATTATTGCTTTAACGTCTCTGTATCTTTAAAAGTAGTTTGGTTATTGAATTGAAACTTTAGCTAATTCTTACTTTAGCTCTTGAGAATTAGCAGCCATTAGTGATTTCAGGGTCTTATCAGCCAATGGGCAACCAGATACACTACAAAAATAAAAGCAGGAGACATAATGTATATTTTTCAAGACGGTTTTGCTGCTCGAAAAATAAAGAGGGTGTCGGCGGACGGGGCTCCTCACCTTCGGTGCGACGCGTAATTTCCTGTCACGTGACCACTGCCATCACAACCTGGTGTCGGACAACTGCAAAGAGAATACGGAGCGGAAGGAACGCTTACAGTAGGCTAATCTAATAATTAATAAGTTCTTTAAGTTCTCAAATCATTTATGTACCTCATCAGCTCTTTTTTGGTGTCTCTTATGAGCATCTTGTTTTTTGCATTTGCCATGTTAGCGTCCCCATTGTACGCTTTATCCTCTAGAGACGCCTTCTCCAACTGATCCATCTACAAGACAAAGAGAAGTCACTTCAAAATATCATTCTGTAAGCACACAGCCCCTAATAGTCTGTGAGAGGTTTGATTCTGCCTAAGTACGCTTAGTAAAACATTTATCCATTTAAACTCGGCTGTAATCCCTCGTAGTGTTTATGATGGGTGTTAAACCTTTGGATTTACTTACATTTTTTTTTTTATAAGGTAAGTATCTTTGAGAACCAGATGTCAAAGGGAGAATCAGACAAACACACAACTGTCTGGGTTTGTTCTTTGACAATTTCCCAGCTTTTCAGAAACACTTCTTTTCAATTTTGCTGGCACTTCATAACAGACAGAGTGCCTTAAGGTTGTGGCTGACTGAAGGAGATAATTTAGATGAATAAATAGAAAGTTAAGGGCTTTTATGTTGAATATGTTCCTAATGTAGCGTACACCAAAGTCAAAGAGCATTTAGACACTGTGGATGTGGTTTCCTTGGGACATTATTATAATTAGACTATTCATTTTCCACCTAATTCTATTAGAGTTTCATAAAATGATGGGGCCATTAAGAATTAAAAAAAATATTAATTATTAATACTTTTACTCAGCAAGGACAGATTAAAGTGATCAAAAGCGAGAGTAAAGACAATTATAATTTTATTTCTATTTCAAATCAATGCTGAATTCCACAAAAACAATTGTTAAAAAACATCTGTGCTGCTTAACAAAACTGTTTTCAATGTTTTGATGATAATAATAAATGGTTCTTGAGTATCAAATCATCATATTAGAGTGATTTCTGAAGGATCATGTGACACTGAAGACTGGAGTAACGATGCTGAAAATTCAGCTTTGATCAAAGGAATAAATTACATTAAGACTTATTCAAACAGAAATGGTAATAATATTTCACAATATTACTGTTTTTACTGATCAAATAAATGCAGCCTTGGTGAGCAGAAGAGACTTCTGGCAAACACATTTAAGAACGTCAGCCCAAACATTTGATGTGCGATGCATTTAAAGGGGTCATTTAAATGTTATTATATTGTTGTCTGAGGTCAACTTATGATGTTCGCTAGGTTTTTGCATTCAAAAACATCAAAATGAATAAGCAATAGGCTATTTTCGACACTAGTTTTGAGCCCAGGTCAAAAACGCTCGGTTTTTATGGGCGTCTCGCACTGAAGACTTGAAAGTAAACGCCCACTGCACTTTGAAAAACGAGTCGTGTCAATAAAAGCTTTTATTGGACTAACAAGGACGTTTTCAGTTCTAAAACTTACAGGGTATTCTTATAATATGATGACCTCTTAGATGTCAAAAGCTCAAGGAAAATTTGATTTCTCAGTTCATCACCTCTTTAAACATTCATCTTCATGTATAAACTTGAAAATATTTATCTTAAATCGATGGTTCAACTTCTTGAACCTTTGCATTGCACAAAAGGTCCTTTATAGTGGAAAAGATTCTTTAAATGTTACTTCACAAGAAGAGTAACTGTTCACTGAAAGGTTCTTTGAGAAACACAAGCTTTATTTATAAGAGTGTACCAGTGAAAGTGGCTCTCTCACCTCTTTGTCCTGTTGCACGGGTGTTTTGCTGAAGTTCAGCGGCGTGTCCCAGGCATCCCGCTCATAGAGGACGTGGTAGATGGCTGGAGAGATCTGGAGACCCGCAGCTTTGGCTAGAGAGTGTTCGGGTGGGGTGAAAAGAGCGTCCCCCAACACTGGCATCACAGGAGAGTCTCGCGACTTTTCTCTCTTTTTCTTCATACTTAAATCCAGCGTTCCGTTCTCGTCTACCTCAATGAGCGAGTCCTGAATGAAAGGGAACATAAAAAGCCTTTTAGATTACAGACCATTGATAACTAGAGCACGTTTCTACCAGAAAATAGTGTTTTGAACTCGTCTTCCTATATATGAAATTTATATTTTGTATAAAATCACAACATTTTCTTCTTTTGTCAAATCAACTTAAATGATAACATAATATTTTGAGTTTCTGATGATTTAATCAATCAACTTTATTGTATTAACTCACTTTTTCCATTTCAATGCACTTAACATTTTAAGGCAACCAGGTTACTTCATTTTTTAAGATAAACCAATCAAAACCCCTAACTCTCATTATTACGATTATGTGCGTAACTCACTCATCCATCCTTGTTTGTACGGCAGACATGATACACAAATTGTGTAGATTGTTACAAACGTGCGTGCTTTTAATTTTCTAACCAATTGAACTTACAATTTTTGCCTGACAGACAATAAAATGATAACAATAAAATAGTAGTGGTATAACAATAAAAATAAAAACTAGAACCATCAAAAAAACTTGGATACACTTTCTGCTAGTAACTAACCACCAATACTACCGTTCAAACGTTTAGGGTCAGTAAGATTTTTTTCTGTAAAGCAAGGATTCATTAAATAGATTCAAATTTGACAGCAAATACAATTACAAAAGACTCCCATACTGCTATTTTGAACTTTCAATTCATCTTAGGATCTTGAAAAAAGGTATCACTGTTTCCACAGCACAACTGTTTTCAACATTGATAACAATTAGAAATGTTTACTGAACAGCAAATCAGCATATTAGAGTGATTTCTGAAGGATCATGTGACACTGATGAAAATTCAGCTTTGATCACAGGAATACATTACACTTTAAACTATATTCAAATAGATAACAGTTATTTTAAATGGTAATAATATTTCACAATATTACTGTTTTAATGTATTTTGATCAAATAAATGCAGACTAAAAAGACTTAAAAAAATCTTACCAGCCCCAAACTTTTGAAGAGTAGTGCACATACTACAGTTGCTATGGGCTACTTTAAAAAAAATATATATTTAAAAAAAAAATAAAAAATTCATTTTTGCAAAAAGTTTTAATAAATTGTTGTTTTTATGAGATAAATTTCTTACACCTTTATACATAATGTTTAAATAAAATAACTAAACCATTAAAATGAAAACAGAAAACACATATTTTGGTAAAAAAAAAAACAGAATTTGAGAAAAATAATAATATAAAAACACATTTTACATTCCCTAAACATGTAATTGTCAAAAAACCTGCGAGTCCCAAAAAAGCAGAATTCAGAAAAATTAAAATGGATTTCATAGGGCCCCTTTTCCTAGTGACAACTGGTTTCAAGATGTCACCCACAGTGGTTTTAAGTCACAAGCATTTAAAGCTGTGCGTATCTTAATATCTGAACTTATATCACCAACAGATGTGCTGCTGGTGTGTGAATTCATGTTATTGCGAAGAGTTTTTACACAACTCGTTAACTGCTTAAAAATGTGCCACACCAATTACTCCCCGCGATAGCAAACAAAGGAGAGCTTATCAGGAACTAATCGTGATAATTCAGATTACAAACCAAACATGGCACTCTCTCGAACCAGCTAAAGCGCACCTATAGAGTTGATCCCTGCGCACGATGTGAGTTTTTCCCATCTGATGACATTCTCTCCAGCCTCAGAAACAAGTGAGGTGACATCTTTCTCCCACACTTCCCTGAAACGCTGCAAGACGTCAAGCCGTATTCTTCGAAAAAAGCAAGCGACTTGGCACAAACAGGGCAATCGAGATACTTAACATGCATAAAGACATTTCGATGCAGACATCAGCAGATGACAGATCGGCTAACACTGTTTTATTCATTCGCTCAGTTTGTACAGTATACCTGCTCTCTGCCCACTGCGTGCTGGGACTACGAACGGCCTGTGGTGTGTAGGTGTGTGAAGCGTTTCACGCCATACTTCTGCGAGTTTCTCTCACTTTTATCTCTGCTTCTAAGAGGAAAACTTGAAAGCTTTGATCCAAGCTACCAATACTGTACGCCATGTTTATAATTATCACTAGAATATACAGCATTAGGATTAGGAATTCATTATTTAGAGCATAAAAGTAAAATTACATTTCAATTACATAACAATGAGTGCTTATTATAGTCTTATTTGTTTTTACCAATATATACAGGTAGTCAAAAGTTTACATATGCCTTGGAGAATCTGTTAAATAAGAGGGATCATACAAAATGCATGCGCTGGTCTGAAGATATTTTACATAAAAGGTGAAAGCTTCCCGTGATGCTCCAGAAGGTAACATGATGCATTAAAGGGTAATTTTTGGTATGTTTTAGCTTACCTCAAGGGCATCCGTGATGTAGGTGTCTTTGTTTCCGCTGTAATTTCAATTTTGATGTTTTTAGGTCAAACCGTTCTTGTCTGTCAGTCATATAATGGAGGTCTATGGTCACCACCTCAAAGAGCATGCACAGAGACGTCCAAATTAAACATGATTTAATGACTCTTAAATGTAAGTACACATTGATGGCCTAAGACACGAAACGAGCGGTTTGTGTGAGAATACGAACAGTATATCGTTCACAAGTCATTAAATCATGCTTTATGAGGTGGTGACCATAGACCTCCATTATATGACTGATAGACATGAACGGTTTGACCTAAAAACATCAAAATTGAAACGACTGTGGAAACAAAGACACCTACATCTTGGATGCCCTTGAGGTAAACTAAAACATACCAAAAATTAATTCCAAAGTGAACTATCCCTTTAAGAGACAGGGGGTGAAAACTTTTTGAATTTGATGATCAGGGTCAATTTTACTTATTTAGTCATCCGGGAAACATGTACGTGTCTTCTGTTACTTCTGAATGGAAGTAGTGCTAAATGAAAAAATAAAGTGTGATCCAAAAAAATTATTTATTATCCTGCTCAAAAGTTTTCACCCCCGGGCTCTTAACGCATCGTGTTTCCTTTTTTTAATAGTTGCGTATAAGAGTTGAGTCACTCAGTTGTCCTCAGTGTGAAAAGATGGACCTCAAATCATACAGTCAATGCTGGAAAGGGTTCAAATATGCAAAAGATGCTGGGAAAACACAAAGAATTTGCAGGACTTGGATGATTTTTCTGAAAAACATTGTACAGTTTGTATATATATATATATAAATGATGAATGATAATAATATATATATATATATATATATATATATATATATATATATATGTATGCCAATATTATATACAGTATACTTTTTGTAAATATTTTTATTTTTTATTAATTTAAAAAAAAAAATAGAAAACATGGATTTACTTTTGCAAATGTATAAGCCAGAAGAATTTATATTTAATCATACTAGGAAATTTTTGAGGGAATTTCTTTTGTCTGAGAGAAAAGAAGAAAGAATACAGGAAGTGTCTCGAGCAGGATTCAAATATGCTTTTCCCACATGCACTAACCGCTACGCCAAGACTTGAACATGCTTTCTAATACATTTTTGACAGCACTTTTTATAATGGTTAATTTTTTCTTTAAAAAAAGAGGCTCAATAAAAGAACACAAGTGTAAAACTGATTCAGATATCCATATCCACACTGTAACAAACATAATCTGGTGGCCTATGTAGACTTTTCTTATTTCATTTAAATAAAAGAGTGATGTCTATTAATCCCTCAACCAATTGATTTAATCCAACTTCTCATAGATCGTCTGTTAGAGATCAACGCCAAAGGATCTGCGCGAGCTTATCTAGGATAATATATTACTTAGCAAAATGTCTTTGACCATCTGCAGTGAAAAAAAAAAAAAAAAACACGCTCTCTCTCTCTCTCTCTCCTGCAAACAAGAGAAAGCCCCAACATTACCATTAGAGCAAGTACAAATCAAATGCACGGCCACATGTTTTACAAAAAGCCTTATAATTGTCATGGAGAAGGAAGCTGTGATTGTATTCCTCCCAAATCTTTTTGATGTGATTACACAAATTCTCCTTTGTGTACATTAAAGCTTTAGGGGCCAGTGTGAGGAAAAGAAAAAAAACGCTCCCACTCTCTTGTTGTTGTGCCACCAGAGGCAACACAGTTCTCTGTGCCAAAAAGTGTCTTTTGATGTTACTCCTCTTTTTCATACACAAATCACAGTTGTTTCAGAATGACCACATTAAATACCTTTTTCTGAGTGGTCTAATTTGATTACCTTTGTGGATGATGCCAGGGGCCGGCTGGGGGGCAGGGCCTCGCTGTTGTCTCGGCAACGGGTGGAGAGGTTGAGGATGGCTGCGGATGCCATGTTGGACTGGAGGGCGTTGCTTTGGGCTTTATGGCGAATGGGGCTGTTGTCTCCGGGCATGATCATATGACCACCAGGAGCCAGAAAATAAGGGAACTGAGCGGCTGGAAATGGTAGTTAGATTTAGTGCTCAGGTAAAAAAAGAGACAGGGAAAATATTATGCACATAGAGCAACTACAGATCAACATCTATGTAGATAGACAGGTTACAAATATACATAAATTAAGGTTTTATAAAAAAAAATATATGAATAATTTCTTTTGAGTTGCCTGTCTATATAGATGTGGATTTGTAGTTGATCTCTTCAATATAAGACCAGTTATAATTTGTACCCTATTGTAATAAATATTATTAATAAAATGTTTTTTTCATAAAAAATGTATTTTCATTTATATTTATCTATGTATATGTATATATATATATATATGCATGTGTGTGTGCGCGCGTGTGTGTGTGAATACATATACAGTATGTTTGACAGCACTAATATAAAAAAATTATATATATATATGCATGCTCACACACACTGTAGTACACAATATCAGTTACAGTTAATTCTCAGTACATTCATGTGAATATTATTAATACAAATATTGTACGTATATATATATATATATATATATATATATATATATATATAAATAATGCAGAGACAACTATAAATTGACAATTTGTAAGGTAATTTGATATTATGTTAATATAATGTTCAGTTAATATTATATTAATAATATAATGTTCAATTAACCTTCAAATGGTTTAGATATAGCTACAATTTAATCTGTATTTCTGAAAAAAATTATAACACATTTCATCTTATACATGTTAATATATATTTCATATATATATATATATATGTTATTTATATATTTTTAAATAGAATATATTTTTACAAAATGTGAATGAATGGTGTTTTCATGTGGAAAGCTCACTGCCAGGGTGTTGCTACGCAGTTGCTACGGTGCTCTGAATGGTTTTTAGTGTTGCTATGTGGTTGCTAGGGTGTTCTAGGTGGTTGATTATTGGTCTAAATCAGGTCCTTCATAAAGATTGTCTAGAGCAGACTGTACGGCGCATACAAGTGACTGCACCAAGATGACACTGACAACTAGTTACTTTTTTTAAACAGTAATGTCAGTGCATGCTGGGTAACCTTTGATTTGAAACAAAATAGACACTCACAGTCAGGAAAGTGTGAAGATTCGTGACTCTGGTCGGATGCCATCTGAGCTTGCTTGCCAAAGACCTGGGCGTCAAAACTGGCGTAGTCAAAATGGCCTTTAGTGTACTTGTCCATGTCTTTGGCCATGCTGGCCTGCAACGCTGCCATAGGATGAGCAAATCTGTATGTGAAGTCAAATTTCTTCATGTTTCCTAAAGGCCTAAATATAAAGGAAAAATCAAGACTTCAGAATATGTTTAAAACATGTTTTTACTGCTGCTCATTCTTTAGCATAAAAAATGACATTCGTGTATTTATATATTTAAAAGCTCAAAAAGAAGAGCTATTTTTTGAGCTTGTGAAGAGCTTATTAAATGTGTAAAAGAGTCAAACAGCGGCAGGAATCCCTCCGTCACACACACATGAAGATCTGCTGTGAGGAGACATGGTTCTGATGCGACAGCCCTGATGGGCAACATCGTGACTACGATGAGAGAAATCAGATATGATTGAGCATTCTGTCCTTTTTAGTGACATCACGCCCTGCATTTGGTTGGTTCACATGTCTTTGGTCCATGTTGGGTTCATATTGCATTCGAACCGCATCAGAGTTCATTTGGAAGCGGACTGAGAGATCTTTTCAGGGTCTCGGTCCGCTTGTTTGGCGTCACCAGGGTTCAGACGGCAGCGTTCACACTTATTCAAATGAACCGCACTAACAGAGCAATCGCACCAGTGTTCGTTTTAATCGAACCAAACACGACACGATAAGTGTGAACACACTAACTCTTATGGGAGTATTAGTAGACTGTGTACTTAACATCTGCTATCTTCTATTATCCTCGAATGCCCTAACGAGAGTTACTTAGGATGTTTATTATTATGCTTCAGAAAGATGATTTTTGAACTTATTTTGATCCTGCTTGATTGTAAAGGAATCAAGACCTCTATAAGATGCTCCTAGATGAAGGTTTATTACCTGGCCATTCTCTCTGCGCTCTGTCTGCACTTTGTGGGCTCCTCCTGCGGTTTGGAGATCTTTTCCGCAGCCGCTATCGGGCAGCCTGAGAGACTGTGTGAAAACAGACATCAGAAGTGTGGAGTTAGTGTCCTCCTCAGGTTTAACAACATCTGGGTGCATTAAACAGTAATTGTTCAATTACTAAATAATCTAATCATTTCTATGCGATAAACATCAGATTGTTTTATAGTCTACTTAAGTTTCATTAATGATTTGTTTGGATTTTTCCTTTGGTCGGGGTAAATTAACATGTGTCTGATGTTTTAAAGGGAATCTATTATGCTTTATACATTTTCAATTCACTTTAGTGTGTAATGTTGCTGTTTGAGCATGAAAAAGGTCACAATATTATTCATCTAGATAAATCCCACACATAAAGGGGCGGGGCCTGGCTGAGTTAGTTAGTAGTGTCAGAGCCCGTGGCACTTCCTATTAGCCCCATTGTGCATCACCTTGGTTGCAGTTTCATTAGAATTCCACTGGAGGTGATCGCGGGCGAGTGCAGAATGAATGGGAGTCTATGGGGCTAAACGGCTAAATGTGTCTCTTTCACCTGCTTGTCGTTAAATCAACAAAGATTTTATTGTTGATTCCGCAAGTTCAATATAGATTATAAGCCAAAAGTGGAATGAACGAGTACTTATGTCCTTTTGATTTCTGACAGGATAGGCTGTTGTTGGCCGGAACACGCTAGCATTCTGCTATTTCGTGACGTCATCACATTTTTGAACAGATAAGTGAACTTAAAAATGCAATTTTCAGCCGAGTGTATTTTCTTAGCCCTCCCTTTTGAATGCAACTTTAAAATTCCTTGACAAAAAATTACATCCTGAGAAAAGTGGATTTCTGGGGGTGAAACCCCATTGACTCCCATTCATTCTGCACTCGACCGCGAGCGCCCCCACATGGACCGAGACACGTTACTGCAGCCAGTCCAGAAACCGGAAGTAACCAGCCAGTGCCAATTCTCTTCAATTTGACATTCTCTGGTAGTGTGTTGAAAATTGCAGTTTCGGTAAGGGGCGGGACATTTCCCAAACACGCTCGAAGCGGTTGACCAATCACAACACACTGGTTCAGGCGACCGATCAGAGCACAGTGCACTATTCAAAAGGAGGGGCTTCGTAGATCAGATCGTTACTGACAGACTGGGAAGAGAGGAGCTGCAAAAATGTCAAATATCCGTTTTTGAAACATTCAAGCATGAAAAACTATTAGTAGACGCAAAAACAAAATCAAGACGTTGATAATACGTTCCCTGTGAGGTGCTTTAAAGCATTGCAGCGGTGCAAAATAGAGTAATAATAACACTATGATATATTTTTGGGGATAAATCTCCAAAGCAGTTTAGTCGCCTGGTAATGTTATTATAAACAACATCATTTTCCCTCAGCGACTGCAGAATATAGATGCAAATCTGCTTACAACGAGAAAGGAGGCTTGTATAGAAATGAATAGAGTGTGATTTGTGTCAAAAAAAAAAACAAGCTCACCTTCTATGCGTGCTACGGTTACTGTTGACATGACCTCTTCCTGTACAGCCAGGGGTCGGACATTTAAGGACGTTTTCGTGCATGGCAAGGACTGAAAAAAACAAACAAAAACAAACTAGATATGTAACTTTACAGATTAAGAAGAAAAATTACATTTAATAAAAATTCAGCATTTTGTGGAAGCTTGTACTGCATGTTTTTACTGTTTATGCTAACTAAAGTTTTCCATGTGTTTCCCTGTTAGTTGAAATTGTGTCTCCTTTCAAGTCTGAACATGCAAAAACATCACGACTGCAAACACATTTTGATTACCATTTAAGAGACACACACATATTGTTGAAGTCCTATCCAGAATCCTTAGTAACTTTTCACTCTGCTCATAATTAGTTTGGAGGATGTGCCCGTCTATTTAGGCTGCATCCGCGGGTCCTTTGATTTGCAGAATGCTGCCTCTGGTTTAGGAGTACATGCTTTCATATTGGAGGAAAAAAAGGGGAAAAAAAACTTAATTACAATTTCTGTTCTTTTGTCACATCACTGTTTAATGGCGGTTGTTTGTTGTGCTACTCTCAAATGGAGAAAACAGCGAGTGAACAGTTGTTTCCGGATTGCATGTTTAATTTGCATACCACACGAAATCAAACCCCATGTTGACGGCTGAAAAGTTCCTTAGAATAAGAGTAAAATATTTAAAAAAAACTTTTTAAAAATATTTTTTGCTTTCAGCTTGCAGTATTATGGTTTTCAAGATAAGTATCAAATACATGAAATACATTTATGTACATCATTGACATGGAAATTACATATTACATACTTCATGTAAAAAAAATAAATAAATTAGGGACAATTTTGTCCCTGTATATATATAAAGTCATGAATACTGGCAAATGTAACATTTCTTCACAACCCTCTTAAAATTTTTACAAAAAAATTAAGTTGATATAATAAAAAGCTATAATAATATACCCATTAAATAGTATTATTAGGAACACCATACTAATACTATGTTTGACTTTCGCCTTCAGAACTGCCTTAATTCTACGTGGCTTTGATTCAACAAGGTGCTGAAAGCATTCTTCAGAAATGTTGGCCCAAATTGATAGGATCGCATCTTGCAGTTGAGCAGATTTGTGGGATACACATCCAGGGCACCAAGCTCCCGTTCCACCACATCCCAAAGATGCTCTATTGGGTTGAGATCTGGTGACTGTGGGCCATTTTAATACAGTGAACTCATTGTCATGTTCAAGAAACCAATTTGAAATGATTCGAGCTTTGCGAGATGGTGCATTATCCTGCTGGAAGTAGCCATCAGAGGATGGGGACATGGTGGCCATAAAGGGATGGACATAGGCTGTGGCATTTAAACGATGCCCAATTGGCACTAAGGGGCCTAAAGTGTGCCAAGAAAACATCCCCCACACCATTACACCACCACCACCAGCCTGCACAGTGGTAACAAGGCATGATGGATCCATGTTCTCATTCTGACTCTACCATCTGAATGTCTCAACAGAAATCGAGACTCATCAGACCAGGCAACATTTTTCCAATCTTCAACTGTCCAATTTTGGTGAGCTCTTGCAAATTGTAGCCTCTTTTTCCTATTTGTAGTGGAGATAATTGGTACCCGGTGGGGTCTTCTGCTGTTTTAGCCCATTCGCCTCAAGGTTGTGCGTGTTGCGGCTTCACAAATGCTTTGCTGAATACCTCGGTTGTAACGAGTGGTTATTTCAGTCAAAGTTACTCTTCTATCAGCTTGAATCAGTCGGCCCATTCTCCTCTGACCTCTAGCACCAACAAGGCATTTTCGCCCACATGACTGCCGCATACTGGATGTTTTTCCCTTTTCACACCATTCTTTGTAAACCCTAGAAATGGTTGTGTGTGAAAATCCCAGTAACTGAGCAGATTGTGAAATATTGTGGCACCAACAACCATGCCACTCTCAAAACTGCTTAAATCACCTTTCTTTCCCATTCTGACATTCAGTTTGGAGTTCAGGAGATTGTCTTGACCAGGACCACACCCCTAAATGCATCGAAGCAACTGCCATATGATTGGTTGATTAGATAATTACATTAATGAGTGTTCCTAATAATCCTTTAGGTGAGTGTATATTTACATTTTTTCTTTAAAAACAGAAGAATCCTGCATTTTCTATCACAGAAAACAAATAACTATTATATGTTTGTAGCACACATTGTAATAGAATGTAATCTCTCTATGTGCTGATTATAATACAGGCTGGTTAGTTAAGCAATCACCATGTAATCTTTCATCCCTCAGTCTCTGTACAACTAAAGCTTGATCATTAGTATGGCATGAATATTCATGGGCTGAAAATGATCACAGTGTTGTTATCGCTAATTGTATTTGTTCTGTTTGCATTGTACTGCTGTGAAGGGAGGAAATGTGCCTAATGTCCTCAGGAAGTGATGCGTAACATGAGAACAGACTCACTCTCTGGGGGCACTCTGACTTTGTGGGGACATCCTGATAGACTCCGGTGATGAGGGTAGAGGCCTGTCACGTGACCCGTCCCGTCACAGCCCGGGGTCGGACATTTGATGTCTTTCTTTTCTGTCCGAGGGGAGTCTATAACGCACACACATGCGCATACACACAAACACACACACAGTAAAAACAGTGCTATTCAAGAATGTGGTTATAGTTCCTCCCATCCAGTCATGTCTCTCTCTATGTAAGCTGAAGCGCATCCTGTAAAAGCATGATGGGTGTGTGTATGCATTCATCCGTGACATTAGTTAAGGCTGCGGTCTTACTCGGGGCACCGGTTTCTTAGCGTTGATCCATAGAGAGATTATCTTCAGAGATTACCCATTAAACAGCAGTCATCACAAGATTCAAAGTGCTTAAAGCTCACATCAGAGATACTTTACTAGGATTTATGACTTAATTTATGCTCATGGTAAAATATCTGGCAGATACTGATAAAAATCTAGCATAGATGTCATCAGAAGATTTTCTTCTTGTACTTTAAATTATTATTATTTTTTTAATATAAATCATGTTGGTTATTTACTATTAAATATTTTCTAGACAAAATTTTTTTAGCACTTAAGAGGATTTTATTTATCTATCCATTTGGGCTAGAATCTCTGTATGTCTCTTTTTTAATATGTTGATTTTTTTTATTTTTTGTTTTGTTGCAATAACATATGTACTGTGATGTGGTGTTTTCAAACTGGCCTGCAAGAAAATGAAAAATTGTAAAAAAAAAAAAAAAAAAGTAAACAATAAATAATAATATTAAAATTATTAAGTAAATACATGAATTAAAATAAATAGCAACACAATGTCATTGTTACATGTAGTTACTATATCAGTAACTATAAATTATGCATAACTGCATGCAACTAACCCTAATCCAAACCAAACCCTGATGCTAACCCTAGAGTAAGTACATGTGACACTTCAGATGTGCTCTGTTCACAATGATGGTTTTGAATTGGTTGAAAAATGATTGAAATCACTTCAAAAAGGAAAATATGGTTGCAACGTGAAAACATAGACATGTAGTCTGATTCCAGAATGAACGACTCTAATGAGCCGGTTCTTTTAAGTGAATCAGAAACATAGGGATGTAGTCTGATTCCAGAATGAACAACTCTAATGAGCCGGTTCTTTTTAGTGAATCAGAAACATAGGGATGTAGTCTGATTCCAGAATGAACGACTCCAATGATCCGATTCTTTTTAGTGAATCAAAAACATAGGCATGTATTCTGATTCTAGAATGAACGACTCTAATGAGCCGATTCTTTTTAGTGAATCGGAAACATAGGCATGTATTCTGATTCTAGAATGAACAACTCTAATGAGCCGATTCTTTTTAGTGAATCGGAAACATAGGCATGTGGTCTGATTCTAGAATGAACGCCTCTAATGAGTCAGTTCATTTTAGTGAATCAGAAACATAGGCATGTAGTCTGATTCCAGAATGAACGCCTCTAATGAGCCGGTTCTTTTTAACGAATCAAACACACAGTTCGGTGTTCTAGGTGGTTGATTATTGGTCTAAATCAGGTTGTTCATAAAGATTGTATAGAGCAGACTGTTTGGCGCATACAAGTGACTGCACGATGACACTGAAAACTTGCTCTTTTTTAAGACATAGTTCGACTCCTGATTGAATGACTCTTATAATTCATGCTGACTTTAAAGAATCAGAACATTTACAAGGAATTCAAACTATAATCTAAACGCAATAGTGAATCTCACCTTTGCTGCTGTGGTACATGGAGCGAGCGTCTATCTCCAGCATCCTCTGCTGCCTCCGATCATGGTTCATCTGCTCCAGGAGGAAGCGGTCCATGTCTTTGTAGGCACTTTGGATGACCTGTCTATGTTCAGACTGCAGCACCATGGCCTGCTCTAGAAGACTGAGGTTCAGCCGGGCTCTGTCCAGCTCCAGACGTCTGGCCATCAGACCTGGACCCCAAACACCTCCTCGCTCCTCAATCCTGGGCGTCTGGAGCTCCTCCTCACTGTCGCTGAACTCTCGCACAGAGCCATACTCCTCCATAAAGTTCCCAGCACTGTTTCTGTTGATGTAAGCAGAAAGAGCATCTTCGTGGAACTGCTGACCTATTCGGAGTCTCTTTATGAAAGCGTCGTCTGCAGGTGGACTGGGGCTGTGATGGATCCCGTTGACTTTCGTTAGAGACGGAGGAACGCTCCATTCTTCCTCGTCTGCCTCTCTGTCTGGAGAAAGGTGATAGTTGGCTCTGATCTCCTCCTGATTTTGGTCTTCAAAGTCCTGGTTGTGTTCCTCCTCTTCTTGCTCGGTCTGGTGCTCGGATATCTGAGCCATCAGGTCTGGCGAACCCTCGCTCGTTTGTTCCGACCATGACAACAAGTGGTGAGAGTTTGCGTTGTGATAGACAGTGTCTTCCAGAACATCACTGCCGTTGAGTTCCTCATCTGAGACACAGAAGAACAATGGGGTTTACATTTATGGATCATCAGTAAGAGCTCTTTAAATGATTGTGCTTGGAAGTAAAAGACTAACAGATGGTTTTCAGATTCTTTAAAATCACAAGTTGTGACAAATATGACAGCTTCATAGATAGATGGATATATGGATGGATAGATGGATGAACTTATTGTTGGATGGATGGATGGATGGACTGATAGTTGGATGGATGGACTGATAGTTGGATGGATGGACTGATAGTTGGATGGACTGATAGTTGGATAGATGGACTGATAGTTGGATGGACTGATAGTTGGATGGATGGACTGATAGTTGGATGGACTGATAGTTGGATGGATGGACTGATAGTTGGATGGACTGATAGTTGGATGGACTGATAGTTGGATGGATGGACTGATAGTTGGATGGATGGATGGATGGATGGACTGATAGTTGGATGGATGGATGGATGGATGGACTGATGGATGGACTAATAGTTGGATGGATGGACTGATAGTTGGATGGATGGATGGATGGACTGATAGTTGGATGGATGGATGGATGGACTGATAGTTGGATGGATGGATGAATGGATAGAAAGAAAAAGAAAGAAAGAAAGTAAGAAAGAAAGAAAGCTTGAATACATTTAACAACCCACATGTGTCCAATAATGAGCAGCACACATTATGCCTAATTATGTATATTTGGGCTGCATTGTTGGATGGATGGATGGACTGATAGTTGGATGGACTGATAGTTGGATGGACTGATAGTTGGATGGATGGACTGATAGTTGGATGGATGGACTGATAGTTGGATGGACTGATAGTTGGATGGATGGATGGATGGATGGACTGATAGTTGGATGGATGGACTGATAGTTGGACGGATGGATGGATGGACTGATGGTTAGATGGATGGACTGATAGTTGGATGGATGGATGGATGGACTGATAGTTGGATGGATGGATGGATGGATGGATGGACTGATGGATGGACTGATAGTTGGATGGATGGACTAATAGTTGGATGGATGGATGGATGGATGGATGGACTGATAGTTGGATGGATGGATGGATGGATGGACTGATGGATGGACTGATAGTTGGATGGATGGATGGATGGACTGATAGTTGGATGGATGGATGAATGGATAGAAAGAAAAAGAAAGAAAGAAAGTAAGAAAGAAAGAAAGCTTGAATACATTTAACAACCCACATGTGTCCAATAATGAGCAGCACACATTATGCCTAATTATGTATATTTGGGCTGCATTGTTGGATGGATGGATGGACTGATAGTTGGATGGACTGATAGTTGGATGGATGGATGGAAAGAAAGAAAGAACGAACGAAAGAAAGCTTGAATACATTTAAAATGTTTTCAAATTATTTAAAAAAAATTATTAAGAAATAATAAAAAGTATTTACAATATACAACTTTGTCAAGAAAACATTACGATAATGATTATTTATCCCAAGTGCACACAAATATTTGAGTATTTACTGACTACCACATCTAAAATCACCATTTATTAATATATATATATATATATATATATATATATATATACTTGTATATATTATATATACTTGACCTTAATATAAAATAAATAACAATTCCAATGTTTTAAATGTTAACATTTATATATAAAATATATGTATATGCCCTCTTAATTTAATCTTCCATCTGTTCAAGTTACGCAACAGTGTTTTTTAAAGTGCGACTTGCTTAAAAATGTGTTAAATGTGCTGGAATATATTTTTTTTTTCAAATCCACAATGATATAAAGCTGTAAACGCTAATCAGAAAGCAACATGATTTGCTATACTACAGTACTACTACTGATAAATCCATAAAGCTTATTTGACTGGGGCTTTATAGGGTGAATAATTCCTCTCTTTTTTTTGGGGGGGGGGGGGGGGGATAAATCTCAGATCTTTTATCCCTTAAAATCACCTTTAAACGACTCTTTGGAATCACAACAGACCCGATTATACTAAGTAATCGAGTCAATGATTAACAAAGGAAAACTATCAGCTGGATTGATTCACAATCCACAACTGATCTCTCTGAAACTTACCCGCCAGGGTTAAAGCTCTTTGGGCACTAGGGTTTAAAGTTCAAAATACAGCGTAAGCACAAGATACATCTATCCTCTTAGAGGGCCTTATGCCACCCTCTAAACCATATGCAAGCACTGAGTTGATTAGATATTAGAGCATTTTGGCTGCCGCCACATGCGGTTTCAGGGGCTTCTAATGGGATCACACTGCCTTAACAAACAGTTGCTAGACTTAAAGAGCATATAAAGTAGTCCTGCTTTTAATCCCCCCAAAAACATCCCTAAATGGGGGGATAGAGAGCTCAGTGGCATTTACAATCTCACCCGGCTCTTGCCAAAAATGGAAACCAGGCTTTGAGGGGTTAGAGTGTGCTTGCGGATTGGTTCGTACCATGCCAAACTCGGCATAATGTCGCAGAGGTCTGCATTGGCGTAATGCATAATGCTAGCGCACAACCTAAATTTTGGATTCTGTTTGTTCAGATAATTGTAGTTTCTATGCATGCAGCTCGAGGAAAGGGTGGTTAATCTCGTCCGTTTTTTATTTTTGGAATCGCATCCAATTGAATGCGTGTCGATTGTTACCGCACTGATTCTTGAGAGATGAAACGTGTCCCGCACTTTTAAATCAACAATAATATGAATCAAAACAGATAAAATGTTCCTTAAACATAGCTAATGTTCCACAGTTACACATTCACTCACTAAATCTCTCAAACATATATTAAACAATCAGGATGAAGACTAACTTGACTGATTTTATCAATATTTTGATCTGAAAGGTGCGCTTTTAAAGGCGTAAATATTTTTAATTAGCATGTATTAATGTTTTTTTTTTTTCTAAAAAAACAACAAAGCAATTTTTTGCCATTTTTAAAATAAATATATATTTTAATTAAATTAATATGTACATTTTTATTTAAAAAAATAATAAATGCACCTTACAAATACACATCTTTCAGGTTATGAAAATATTAATAAAATCAGGCACGTTAGTCTTTATCCTGAATGTTTTATTTATCCATATGCTAGTCCAAATAAAGAAAATGGCTACAATACATCTGTCATTATTTTGTCCGTGAGATGTTGCTGACATTTAGACTGACAAATCGTCCTGTGGTCTCAATTTAATCTTAATCATAGTTCAATGCTCCATTTATTATAAATATCTGACATGGTACTACTCATGTTTGTGTCTGACGGTGCTGACCGCGTCCAAAGCGATAGAGAAGCGAAGCAGGAAGTTGCACCAAAACATGAACATGCTTTTAAAACAACTTTAAACTTAAATATTTATTCATTTTTGTCCCATATCTCAAGAATCAGTGCCCGTAACACAAAACCATGAAGCATCTGGACGGCGAAACCGAAACGGAGCATGGATTCCACTGCTAACACGCTTAAAAGCGGACGATTTTCCTGATTATGTCGCTTTTGTCAGCAGTTTGAGGTGTGAAAACCCAAAGCGGTCCAGCGCAGATGAAAAGTTCGCCAGTTATGCTAAGACACAATTAACAGAGCAGATGATTAGGAGTTCTCTGCCATCCAGATGGAGATACAGCCCTGACCAAAAAAAAAAATACTGAACAGTGGGGGGGAAAAAAAAGACTGGAGCGAACAAGGGCGAAAAATGCTTGGATGCAGAGAGTGGTTTGTGTTTTGGAACAGGTGAATGGTTTATACTCCAGAATAACCATTACCATTGTGTGTATGGAGACCAGAAGCTTGGCTGGAGTCACACACACACACACACACACACATATACACGACAGTACCAAATGGAAGCCTTACATCCCTTTAATTTCTCCCCTGCCTTTCTCTCCTTAAATTCACACACCCCTCTACAGATCCATTAATTTCGCCACGGTCCCAGTCGTCACTCACTCCCAGTCACACCCCGCACATTATGGTTTTTTTTTTTACATTTTTTTTTCTTTCAGTAGCACTTCTTCAGCAGTGCACTTTGGCAAACATGTTGCGAGACAGCAGGGAAATATGACAAATGAGATTTTCCTAATCATTCCGCAACTAACTTCAGAAAATAACGCTAAAAAAACTCAAAGGACGAGGGGGAAGAAGAGAGGAGGAAAAAAAAAGGTTATGATTATTGTGGGTAATATGAAATCAGAGAAACAAATAAATTCCATTTCCAATGATGCTGTTCAATTTATTGAGCTATTTTGTTGTCCATTTAACAACCCACATGTGTCCAATAATGAGCAGCACACATTATGCCTAATTATGTATATTTGGGCTGCATTCGATGGTCTAACAAAAGCTTTCGAAGGGGACAATTACGTTTGTTGCTTGGTTACATCGTTAAAAATATACCAAATAAGTGCAGATTATAGGGGTGTGGAGGTACACATGTAAAGCATGGGTATTGTTGCCAACATGCTCATAATTTGATTCATTAGGAAATGGCAGCATTTTGTTTCTAGAAAGGAGACTGCTTTAAAACGTAATATCGACTTTAACGTTTTCCGTGCCTCCGTTGCCAAAAATGTTTTGTTGTTGGAGTGTATGATCACTCTCCTTTGTCAACGAGGCACAATATAATTTGGTGCATTCTATTCTCAGTTACCCTATTTGCATAATTATGCAAGCAAGCACACTTGCTTATAAAAAAAGCACTTTTCCAGGCTGCATAATCGACCCGGCGCCAGCTACTCTTACGGCGAGTTTTTAATCCGGGTTTCAAAGTAGTCGAGCGGAGGAAATCGCCCTTAATCTGGAGACCGGATGCGGGAAAAACCGGCTAGGAGTTTTCTGACGGATCAGGACGCCAAACATGCTAGATGGATGCGATAGGGGAGGAGGGAGACGAGGCGAAGGAGGAGGAGGGATACAAATATATGAATGCAACAGATGGTAGTTTAAAATTCAGCGTCAATTGTTCATCAAAACAGACAAAACAACAGGACATCTGTCTACCTGCTGGAGTGTCAGTGTTCCTGGGCGCGTCTTTGTCCCGAGCGCTTGCCAGGTCTTCCTCGCTGGGGCAGGGGCTGGGACTGTAGTGGCGGGGCTTCATCAGGAGAGATTTCCTCTTGTTGACTGGCGCCCCGCGGACCCCTTCTGCGGCCGCGCGCTTTTTACCCGCTCCGAGGTGCGAGCTGGAAGGAGAACACAGGGGTCATTTGATGGATGCGTCATGTCACAAATCAACCCGTTAAACTGTCTGCGTCTGAGTATGTGATCGGTTGAGGTACTAATGGATCCGACCCGTGAGGTTTAGTGTTGTTTAGACACATTTTCAAATAAGTTGTGACTCAAAGTGGTTCTTCAATGATGGTTCTTCTTCACTTTAAAAAAAAAAAAAAACTTTTGCTGATGATTTACTCACCCCCATGTCATCCAAGATGTCTTTCTTTCTTTAGTCGAAATGAAATTATGGTTTTTGATGAAAACTTTCCAGGATTTTCTCCATATAATGGATTTCAATGGGAACCAAATGGTTCAAGGTCCAAAAGACAGTTTCAGTGCAGCTTCAAAGGGCTTTAAACGACACCAGATGATGAATAAAGGTCTTATCAAGTGAAAGATCGCTCAATTAAAAAAAAAAAAAGTTACGTTTTATAAGCTCAAATGTTCACCTTACTCTGCACGTTCGCGACTCTCCTGTTCGAATCTTTTCCAGAGTCAACTCGTTCATTTAGTTCGTTGAATGAACCAAATGACACGAAAAAAGATTCGTTCATTTTCGAGTTCGAACAGGAGAGTCACGAACGTGGATCACAGAACAGAGCGAGGCGAGCATTTGAGCTTATAAAACTTTAACTTTGTTATATATTTTTTTAAATGAGCGATTGTTTTGCTTGATAAGACGCTTATTCATCGTCTGAAATCGTTTAAAGCCCTTTGAACAGTTTGAAGCTGCACTGAAACTGTCTTTTGGACCTTGAACCGTTTGGTTCCCATTGAAGTCCATTATATGGAGAAAAATCCTGGAATGTTTTCATCAAAAGCCTTAATTTCTTTTCGACCGAAGAAAGAAAGACATGGACATCTTGGATGACATGGGGGTGAGTAAATTATCAGCAAGTTTTTTTTTTAAAGTGAACTAATCCTTTAAATTGAGCAAAAGTCATATATAATGTTGCAAAGGATTTCTATTTCAAATAAATTCTTTCTTTCCTTCTAAGAATCCTGATAAAAATATCACGGTTTCTACATAAATAAGCAAGTTTTCAACGTTGATAATAAAAATAAATGTTTCTTGAGCGGCAAATCATCATATTAGAATGACTTCTGAAGGAACATGTAATTACATTTTAAATATATATATTAAAATAACAATACTGCCAGTTTTTACAGTGTTTTTGATAGGATACACATAAGAGACTTCTTTCAAAAACATTAAAAAATAGTACCAACCCCAAACTTTAGTGTAGTAGTGTCTGTGAACAGATATATTATTACTTATTTTTATAATTGACCCATAATGCTCTCTGATAAGACAGATAACAGATAGAAATGTAGTTTCAAGTTAACATGAAATCAAAAACGTCTTTCTTAATTCACATTTCTGGTCTTACAGTAAATGATACGGTGGCACACATTATTCCAAAGACAAAAATATAATTCCACCTCTGAACCGACTTTCCATTTTAGCCTTCTTATTTTTCACCCCCTCCCCTCCAACCACTTATAAGAGCCCACTTTTCACCATCCAATCAATTCCCGATGGATCAAATCGAGCCTCGCCTTACATTTTGTCTCGCTGAACATCCTGTTTCACACACACACACACACACAAAAAGAGTGGCGAATGGCATTTCATGCTCTTTGAGGCAGCGACTTTGTTACAAAACTCATCAGGGCAGCATCTGAAATTCCCTGCAAGATGTGACTAAGAAATTCAGCATCGCAGATCCTCATGTGTGAACTTATGTGTGAACACAGAGTCCAAAACACTCAAGCATGAACTGGCTCATTATTTTCAATGAGAAATCTGTTGCTATTATCAGCTATCACGCTGCATAATAAGGAATGATACAGAGAATAAAATGTTTGCCGTAGGCCGATATCATTTAAAGGTGAGTGTAGACTTTGACACAAAGAATTGCACTAAACAACTTGCATTGCATTTGTATAAAGACAATTCATGCAGCTAAATAATAAGACACATGCAACAAGCCATTTACCATGCAAGCTTGTTTCCGCCAGAGAGAGTTTTCACACAATTCTGACTTTATATCTCGCAATTCTGAGAAACAAAATCATTATTACGAGATATAAAGTCAGATTTGTGAGATTTAAACTAAAACTCGCAAGATATCAACTCACAATTCTCAATTCTGAATTTATAACACACAATTGAGACTTTATATCTCAAAATTGCATGTTATAATGTCAGAATTGTGAGATATAAACATGCAATTCTGAGAAAAAAGTTGTTTATGTCTCAATTCTGACATGCAGTTGTGACTTTATATTACGCAATTCTGACTTTATAACTCACAATTGAGACTATATCATGCAATTCTGACTTTAAATCTCCCAATTGTATGTCATAATGTCAAAATTGCAAGATATAAACATGCAATTCTGAGAAAAAAAGTCTTTTTTTTTTCAAAAGTTGATTACGTCTCACAATTCTGACTTTCTAACGTGCAGTTGCGACTTTATATCATGCAATTCTGACTTTAAATCTCCCAATTGCATGTTATAATGTCAGAATTGCACGATTTAAACAAAAAGTCAGGGTTTATTTTTTCCAAAAGTTGTGTATGTCTCACAATTCTGACTTTATAACTCACAATAGCGACTTTATATCACACAATTCTGACTTGTGAGATGTAAACTCGAACTTGTGAGAAAATAAAGTCAGAATTGTGAGATCGAAAAAGTCGCAATTATTATTATTATTATTATTTTTTTAATTCTGTGATGGGAACAAGCTTCCATAATTTACAAACTACACTTGCCACAAAAAGTATTTGGACACTTAAAAGGTACACTCTGTAACTTTTGGCCCTCTAGCTGTATGCATTTTGGGGAAGAACATTGTTTTGGTTGTGCTTCAGCTCTGCTTGACTGTGTCCTCGCCATCTCCGAAAAGCCAAGCCAATGTTGATATTGGTTTTATTACGAGTTTGTCGCATTCTCTTTCTGCCAGGAGGCTCATACATAAAAATGTCAGAATGTCATTGCATTAGAGGTAAAACATCAAAACAAGCGATATACACAAAATAGTTCTTCAACTGGATCATGTTCATACAGTAGTTAAATGACTTCATCAAAACACTAGGACTGAGCAAACATGATGAAGACAAATTAGTCAAAAGAAAAGAAGTCTGAAATGCAACTTTTGACAACTGCACGTATGAAAAGGCGTCAGAAAAGCCATAAACTGACACTCGGAAGCAGGCAGTGAACTCTCTGGCTTACCTGGGCGCCTCAGCGATGCAGTCAGGCAGAACTGCAAACAGAAAAAGAGAGAGAAAGAGTAAACACACATGTTTACATTTCCAGCAGCGAGCCGGCCCCTCCAGCACCTGCCTGTGATCCTTCACACACCTCTCGCTTTAATGTCACACTCAGACGGACACAATGATGAAGGCTCCTGCTGACTCGCTGAGGGACGACGCTTGTGTTCAGGATACAACTCTTCTGGCATACAAAACATCGAGCAAAAAACTTCCTCTACCTCTTTTTTTTTTTGGATAGCAGCAAAAATGATGCAAATCCATACAAAACAAAAAGATGCAAATAAGGCTTCAGGTATTTTTAAAACCACGTTAGAGAGGATCTGCCCTTGTCCGATATCAGTTGACCCTATTTTGCTAGTGGATTAACAGCCCATAATGTCCTATTCAGAAGGGTCATTTCAGTCGCTTCTGAATTTTTATAAATTAAACCGCTCGTTAACATAAACATTAAAGTAACCCATTAAACATGAAAGTATTATGCAATCATTCAAGATATTTCTCCTCATATAGGACCTTTCTGGCTTAAAGCATTCTCTAAAATTAAGGCAAGAACCATATTTCTAAGTGTGCATCAAACTAAGAGAAAGTCATTCAGGTTTGGAACAACACCAATATTGTCATTTTTGAATGCTCTGGCCCTTTAAGGTCAGGCATTCTGGGTAATGTCTTTCTTATGAAATAGGGCTGAACATCAAACAGTTTATCATGTCTTTGTCAATTGAAACTACAGTAATTCATTTACTTATCATTAATGCAGTTATATAAAAGAGATATGTTTGATGATGCATGTATTTCAGTATTCTTATTAAATGTTATGCATAATATTAATAATACAATCAAATAATATGCATATTACATTATAACTACAAAATTTGAAATAAAATGCCCTTTAAATGCCCATTATATTTAAATATTGTTCATAATTGTTTTATGTATTTATATTAGGGCTGCCAAACGATTAATCGCGATTAATCGCATCCAAAATAAAAGTTTGTGTTTACATAATATATGTGTGTGTACTGTGTATAATTATTTTCTATATACTGTATAAATACACACACATGCATGTTATATATATACTGTATAAGAAAATATAAATATATATATATATACATATAAATAATATATATATTTTATAAAAATATATAAAAAATATATATATATTTATATATAATATCAATTATATATGAATATATACACATGCAAATATTTCTTAAATATATACATGCATATATTTTTAAAATTACATATTATACTTTCATTATATGTTTGACTTGAATAAAACTAAGTCATTAATATGTTTATCTACATAACACACTTTTTAGGTTACCAGACACACATTTTGTAGACTAAATGAAAGGAAAGGTAAAATGAAAATTCTCTGACAGGAATGAATTGTTTTCTATATCATAAAGCATGTTCAGCATGCAAAATATTTTCTCTCGGGGCAAAATTAGCAACTGACTACACAGTGTGTAAGACAATATCTGGGATTTGCATGGGGGGGGGAGCCGGATCACTTTACTAAACAGTGTTTAACAAATCACAGCTCTGACAACATGATATATTCAAAGCCTCACTGTGAACTTAGTCTCACGAGATGTACAGACAGAGAGAGAAGGAATGTGTGTCAGTAGGAGAGAATATCTCATTCACAGCTTCACCTCAATCCCATGGTGAAGACTCAATAAAAGCACCATCATGAATTTTTACCGGCACATTAAAGGGCCAGGCGCACATGAGCGGTACAGTACGTGGCTCTAAACACTTGAATAATGATGTCCCCTGTCATGCTTTAGTCGCTCTTCCCATTCACAACGCCCTCCTTAACTCGTTTGAAAGAATATTGCCACATAATGAAGTCACTGTCTATGCATAATGCATCGCCGCGGCAACCGCACCTCTCTCCAGCTAAAGAGGATTAATATTAAAATTGACAGATCTGATGTGAGACCGTTAAACTAACACTTCAGATCAAATGTGCGTAGGAAAAGGGTGTGCGCGCACGCGGGCCTGTCAGCGAGCGTCGCTGAGGCATCATGGGAAATGTGTTCAGCTTGTTTATGTGAACTTTGTACGGGGCAAATATAATGCATGTTTATACAAACCAATAATGCGTTCTAAAAAGTGTTATGAGATCATGTTTCATAACAAGTGCATGAAATAAATATTGTGTTGCAGAGGTAATGGGTTATACTGTGTCTTTACAATCATAGGAAGCACTTGAACGCTTCATGCAAAAATGTATTACGCCATTAAACTTTATGAAATGCTGAACAGATGTTCATTAAAATATTTAAATAAGAGTTGACATATCTAACTATTTGAATATAAATCACTGTTGATAATGATATCAGAAGTCAAATATAAAAAGTTAAGCTAGATATATCCACTTGATCTGAACCTTAATAAAGAATGAATTAAAAAAAGGATTTATTAACCTAATAAAAGATAGATTGATATATAAAACATATCAATAAAAATAGATTGCAATGTATAACTTAACAATGCAGATATTGTTACACGTTATGTTAAACGTTGTTACTTTATACATCACATGTTATGACGTGTTACAGTATGTTATCTTATGTTATGTTGTGTTATGCTATGTTATCTTATGTCGTGTTATGTTATCTTATGTTATGTCGTGTTTTGCTATGTTTTCTTTTGTCGTGTTATGTTATGTTATCTTATGTTATGTCGTGTTATGCTATGTTATCTTATGTCATGTTATGTTAACATAACACGACATAAGATAACATAGCATAACATGACATAACATGACATAAGATAACATAGCATAACATGACATAAGATAACAGCATAACACGACATAACATAAGATAACATAACACGACATAAGATAACATAGCATAACATGACATAAGATAACATAGCATAACATGACATAACATAAGATAACATAACACGACATAAGATAACATAGCATAACATGACATAAGATATGTTATCTTATGTTATGTCATGTTATGCTATGTTATCTTATGTCATGTTATACTATGTTATCTTATGTCGTGTTATGCTATGTTATCTTATGTCATGTTATGCTATGTTATCTTATGTCATGTTATACTATGTTATCTTATGTCGTGTTATGCTATGTTATCTTATGTCATGTTATGCTATGTTATCTTATGTCATGTTATGTTATCTTATGTCGTGTTATGTTATCTTATGTTATGTCATGTTATGCTATGTTATCTTATGTCATGTTATGGTATGTTATCTTTTGTCGTGTTATGTTATGTTATCTTATGTTATGTCGTGTTATGCTGTTATCTTATGTCATGTTGTGTTATCTTATGTCGTGTTATGTTATGTTATCTTATGTTATGTCGTGGTATGTTATGTTATCTTATGTTATGTCGTGTTATGCTGTTATCTTATGTCGTGTTATGTTATCTTATGTTCTGTCGTGTTATGCTGTTATCTTATGTTATGTTATGCTATGTTATCTTATGTCGTGTTATGTTATGTCATGTTATGTTATGTTATGGTACATTATATTATTAAAAATAGTCTTTATAATATTTTTAAACTTGTGAAGCACTTACTTGTGCCATCACATGTTTCGCTGCGATTCTCTTCACTGTCAGACTCCATCTGGAAATAAAAGAAAAAAAGTTAATAACAAATAGCAATTTTCAATTCCAGAGATTTATAATCCTGTTTAATAACTCATCTCAGCAGGATCTCATCATCAGAGTGACAGCTAAGTTCCTGTCAGTTTATGTTATTAATAAGTAAGCCAGATTATTGTCATGCAAAGCAAGCACTTCATTTGCAATTTCAGAAACAACCCATCTACAAGGCATCACAACTTTAGATGTTAAAAAAAAAAAGAGGAAAGAATGAATAGGTTTAAAATTCTAGGATTACAGTAAATAACAGTAGTAAAAAAAACCTAATCCAATCAATTCTGTGATTCCTGGAGCGTGCAATGAGGCGTCAGCACAAGAAATGAAAGGTCAGTGAACTTTATGACAAATAAAAGAGGGAAATTTCACGCAGTGGCTCAGGTCCGTTACGGGCATTGTGTGCCGGGCTTCATATTTTGGCTTGATTTAATTGGCTTAGCATCTGCAGCAAGCAGAGTACAGTCACACACACAGGCCTTCACTTTAAAGAGGGTGAGACAGGGGCGAGCAAAAATATAATAATGCAAAAACCAGCGACAAACAAAAGTAGTGGTGTGTGTGTGTGTGTGTTTAGACAAAAAGAGTTGTTAATACCGCTGCACCTACTCACACACTCACTCACTCACTCTCCCTCGGTTTCTCTCTGCCAGCAGTGCCTTGCTGATCCCAAATAAAACCTATTAAATGTAATTATTCTGGGCTGATGGCGCTCTATAGCGGTCGGAGGGTCTGGTGAGCTCGGTGAGTCACTGGCTGGGCTGTTACTTCGCTTATAATGGGAAACATGACTCCTATCTCCCCTTCTCTCGGCTTGGCTGTTGTGATTGAAGCCACTGACCTGTCATACATTTATAATAGGGGGAGCAGGTGTGGCATTGATGGACCTTAATTTCCTTTAATAAACCTTTTATGTGGCCCACTCTTAATGCCACGCCGGCCCTCTCCCGGCTCCCGACGCGTAATAGCTTCATTACTTTTGATTACTGGGGGCCCCTATTGAGACAAACAACTCCCAAACACTATAGATTACATTCTGTAAAAACTAATGTACCTGATTAGTTCATTACACCGGCTCGCTCGTGTACACACAGACGCACGCTAACACACGCGACGCCAGAAGTGGCCTGACGCTTCCGGACGGGCTTTTCTGAACACCTCTTGAAAGCTGAAACTATTAAAAACTGCGAGAGCCGCGTTTTCGTATCGTGATTTCTCTATTGTTTCGCTGAGAGAGTAAAAAGAAAAGCTTTTATCGCCCCTCCCCCGACGAGGGCTTTATTTCAACAAAGGTTACGCAGATTTCGAGGGTTACGTAATTTGATATTTGGGATGTTCAGAGCGGAAACTTTGACAAGAGGAGGACAGCTGCTCAATAACAATCCAACCTTACAAAACCGAACCATATGTCAACGAGCGTCGCCGGCCTCAGGTAGCGAGTCAACTTCGACTGAGCCTGACAAAAACAACTTTAAACAAGTGATTCCCCATGCAAGCTTTATTATAATATTACAAAAAAATTATATACTTTTAATATACTACACAACTGTCACTTAAAGTCTGCAAACTAAAATAATCAAGATTATTCATCTTAAATAATATATTACTCTGGAATATATTCTTTTTGAAGTGTTGTACAGGTAACAAAACATTTTGAAAAAAAAAAAAAAAAAAAAAAAAACACACACACACTCAAAAATGATTTATACTAAAACGCCCAAAAATGTATACTTATGCACTAACATAGTTATGAACAGCAGCTGACCTACTGACTTTAATTTTAAGTGCACTTCTAATGTTTAAAACTCACACAGAAAATGAGGACCAAAAAAAAAAAAAAAACTATTAATAAAATGAAAAAAAAAAAAAAAAAGATAAAAGTGAAGTACAAAAAATAAAGGACTCAGAATGGCTACTAGAGAAATTTACCTCATGTGTTTATGCATTTATGCAATGTTTTACATTTTTAAAACAACAGATGTTGCATCCAAAATGTTTAAAACATTTTTAACAGTGTGGTGCAATACTTTTCTACTTTAATAGGCCTAAATGATTATGTAACGTATAAATACACACCAACATGAAAAACAGAGGCACACAAATTAATGAACAAGAGTGTATAAAGTAATGGAAGTGCACACGTGAGATACTCTGCCAATACACGTCCACTGCAGGAAGAATGACTAACTTCACCTTTGTTTGTTTGGCCTGTACTGAATAAGATGTTCTGCGAGGTCCCAGCGGGCCGCTCCGATTACTGCACACACGTTTCTTCAGCTGTTCTAAGATGGGAGTGTGACATTCATGCTCTGAGTGAAGAAGAAAATGACAAAAGATATCAACGACAAGTATTTTTGAATGACAAGTGTGGCTGTGGAATCAGTAGTTTAAATCCCACATGTGTCCTTTAGAGAAAACATGACATTAAAAAGATATTTCTACCCTGTTGAAAATCACTACAACTCAATGCAGTCAGGTTGCTGTAGTCATATTAAATCATTCTTGTGACATTTTTTAGCTTGTGCATACTTTTTAAAGAGCCCGCTTGGATGACTACATTTAGGAGTTGTTCGAATGGAAACGCTATTCATGCTCAGAGGTAAAGAAAGACAAAAGATATCAAGTATGACTAATGTGAAATACATTTTTAACCTACAAATGTGACCTAAAGTGAAAACATGACCACAAAAACTGCAGTTATAAGACATTTCTGATTCGTGTAAAACATTCAAATGCGCAGCTTTAATTATAAAAATCTATTTACATCTGTTAAAACGAACTCAATGCACTTAAAGCCATATTAAATAATACTTTTTTACCAATTTTTAGGTAACAATGCACAGTTTAAATTCACTTCCGCTTTGACGACTACATTTAAGAGTTGTTCGAATGGAAACGCTATTCATGCTCAGAGGGAAAGAAAGACAAAAGATATCAAGTATGACTAGTGTTTAAATACATTTTTAACCTACAAATGTGTCCTAAAGTGAAAACATGACCACAAAAACCGCAGTTATAAGACATTTCTGATGTGAAAACATGACCACAAAAACTGCAGTTATTAGACATTTCTGATTCGTTTAAAACATTCAAATGTGCAGTTTTAATTTTAAAAATCTATTTACATCTGTTAAAATGAACTCAATGCACTTAAAGCCATATTAAATAATACTTTTTTTCCCCAATTTTTAGGTACCAATGCACAGTTTAAATTCACTTCCGCTTTGATGACTACATTTAAGAGTTGTTCGACTAGAAACGCTATTCATGCTCAGAGGTAAAGAAAGACAAAAGATGACTAGTGTGAAATACATTTTTAACTAACAAATGTGTCCTAAAGTGAAAACACGACCACAAAAACTGCAGTTATAAGACATTTCTGATGTGCAGTTTTAAAAATCTATTTACATCGGTTAAAATGAACTCAATTCACTCAAAGTCATTTTAAATAATACAAATATTTAAGTAACAATGCACAGTTTCCACTTGGACGACTACATTGAGGAGTTGTTCGAAGCGCTAACCGTGAATGTTACAAACGGTGCCGTTGAGAAACCTGGGAGCAAATTACCAGACAAGACCTCATGTGGCTTTCTTAACAAGATGCAAATTGATTGCTTGACAGAAATCAAATAGCTTGTGTGTAATTAATATGGTTAATCCGGGAAGAGTTTTGTGTGATTGCGCGCATCGGGACAATTTAAACGCTGCGCTACACAACGCCTGAGCTCCGCTATTGGTGAGCCATTCATGCCTGTTGGCTTTGAGAACGGGCGAGCGAGAGAGAGAGAGAGAGAGAGAGAGAGAGAGCTTTGTGTTAATTATGGCTAAAAACTCCCAGCATCTTTTGCCCGTCGGCCCCCACCACCACGCGAGCACAGGGGCCCGGGGACGAGGAGGGGGCCCCCCTCATTAGCATAAGAAGAAAAACGGCCCACTCCTTGAGCGGCCCGTCATCTGCTGAATCATTATAAGGGGGTTTCTCTCGCCCCTTCTGCGCGCAGACAGCGTCCCTCTGAGGGCCGGGCCACTAATGTGCATGGCCTCGCGGTCTCCAAGGAGATAGTGCTTCCTGATCGCGCGTACGTCTGCGCGTGTGTGTACGCGGCCGCTGCACTTTGCCCTAACCCATCTGCTCTTTTTCTCAAAGCCCCGTCTGAGCCCAACCAGAGAGTTGCACTTTACAGCCACTAGACATCAATGGGCGTGATTTAATTCAAATAAACGACACGGCGACCCTAAAAAACACACACATACAAAGAAGATTAGTGTTAACGTACACAAACGGGAAAGAAAATATGAATGACATTTTCTGGTCAAAACAGAAACGCACACGCTATCATTAAAGGCTAACGTCACCGAAAATAAGACAAACAAACAGACAACGACACAATGCTTATGGTAATTATGTTTGTTATCAGCATCACAATCGCTCATCGGATTTAACCGCTCAAGGGACGACCGCTAGTAATCAAACCTTGAATCATCTCTAGCTTTATTATGACATGCACAGAAATAGTATTCCAGGTTAAGCGACAATATTTGTGTATTCTGTTGATTAGCATGGAAAATATACGTGCGTTGAGAGTTATGCACTTACAATGGTAGTCTATGGGGTAAGCGTTCAAACTTAACTTATGTTTGACACAGAATTCATTTTTATTTGACGATTTCTAGTCATTGTTTCAAAAAACAGGTTACACTTTAGGTCCATGTTAGAGAATAATTATCTAAATAGAGTTAGGGATAGGATTAGGGTTTAGTTGCATGCAATTATGCATAAATTATTATTGTAATGACATGTAACAATGTAAAATAAAGCATAGCAAAAACATACTTGAAATAAAATAAACGGAAACTGAAATAAAACTAAACTTAAATCTAACTTACTAAAATAAAATGGATTTTTTTTTTTTTTTTAAACTTTTACAAAAAGTGAAAGAGGAAAATATAAAAAAATGGAATCAAATTATTAATAGAAAATATTAATGATACTAAAATAGTTTTGATAAAGAAAATACGAATTGTGGATGGTAGATCAAAATTAATAACAGTTAATAGATTTCCATAATAAATGTAAATAATAGCAGAAAAAACAAACCTAATTCATTTTGATGTTAAATATAAGTTAGAAACTGATGGTTAAAAAAATTATTTATTATAATAATAATAAAAAAAAAAACGATATTCACATAGACTTCCACTCTAAGTGCACTTTTGCACAATTTTTTAGTTTTTTTCAAAAATTCAACACAACTTTTTTTTTTTTTTGACTTTTCAGAAGTGTATTTCTAAAAAAAAAAAATCATGGCTTTTTAAAATGTAATGTGCACGTCCACAAGTGCTCTCTCGTCTTAGCATCTCGACTTTGTAAAACGGCAGAGGGTAAAAAAGCAGAAAGAAATAAGCGTAAAAAAACATCCGAAGCACACTCGTGCCCTTTTCCTTCCTGAATGACTGTTATGATTAGATTGTACTTTCAGTGTAATTACGGAATAAGCACTATGTGGCACTAAACAATGAATAAATAAAGACCTCCAGCTCTATCTCCACCCAGAAACATCCCTCCCTACCTCCCTCCCTTCTTCTCTCTCCTTCCAATCACCTTTCCCTGTTTTCTTCTCTCTCTCTCTCTCCATATCACCTGTCTCGCTAGTATCGCACAGAGAGAGTTATGAAGACACACAGGATCTCATTGCAAGGTCACCCACTCTCTTTCTATCTCGCTCTCTCGCTCTTTTTGTTTGTCTGTGGCGTCTGGCTGGAAAAGGGTTAAGCCAGGAATGGATTTAATTATGGAATGAATGGAATCACAATGCGCCTGCAGCAAGTTTGTGCCTCCTTATTTATTAAAGCTGCTGATGGTCCAGGTTTGATGAGCCACTTCGGGCATAATTGAGTCATCATACAAAGAGGGTTCCACACATTCAGAGAGGTTTTATCAGCTGCAAACAGACCTGATTACTGGCAATTACACTCTGATCTAGGAGGATGGTGGGGGGGGGGGTAACTTGTGTGTTTATAGTTTACCCCAGGAATAATTTCCACATTCATTTTACATGCTAAGTGTTTTTCTGTTGCGCCGTAATAAAGCGCAAAGAGAGAGATAGGAGCGTTTTACTTTCATTTCCCCCCTGCGCTGAATGTCGTACTGTAACCGGAAAAGGGAAGAAGAAAGGAAGAAAATAATTGCAATTGAATGCGCATCGGCAGGGCGGTTGGGGGTTTTGTTTGCATGCTTTTTGAAATTAAAAAAGCATGCGGAGGTGTGAAGCAAACATTGACATGTGTCTGAACTGGGTGGAGTTGAACACAATCCATTATAATACTTTTTCCTTCAATGGAAATGAATTACATGCACATCAAACATTGATCAAGAAATGTTCACGACGATAAAAAGCACGGATCGTTCGCTATATAGGCCTTCTGCCTAAAAACAAAGGCAGGGAGATGTAAAGAAAAGGGACGCCTGAGATTAGAAGGGGCGGGTGTGTGTAAACGCGAGATATCAGTCTCCATGTACTTCATGCCAGAGACTTTAAACTGTGAAATCTGAGAACTCAAAAGCTGCTATTTTAACTTCTGTTTGCTCCTGGAATATGAGGCTATGTTTTCTTTCTAGGGCAAGCATAATTAGTTTCAGTATAATTACCTTAAAGTGCATCATCTGTCCCTAGGTCTAATGTGGGAGTAACTTCAAAGATACACTTGTTTCCAACTGTTTAAAGCATTTCTCATCTGATAAATTATTCGACGAGAAATCTGCCAGCAAACGCGGATGATATAAAAAAAAAAAACGTTGTTTGAGATGGAAACGGGCGTTCGCAAAGCTCCAAAGTTAAAGCTCGTTCAAACAGTTCTGCAAGTGACCAAATAAATTAATAAATTATGAGGTCACAAAATAGATAAAATAAACACTATATCAGGTACAAAACCACATAATTAAATATCCATCCATCCATCTATCTATGAAGTGTACTGAATAATGTATATATTATTTATTATGACAAATTCTTACTATTGCAAGCAAAAAAAAAGTGTAATTTTTGGCAAATTTCTCATTTGAAATAGATTTTAAATGTGTATATCCAACAAATACGCAATAGTATATAATATTTATAAACAAAATGTATATATATAATTTTTTTTAAATAAATATTATGTATACATAATATTTAATATACTATTATATATTAAATATTATGTATATATATATATATATATATATATATATATATATAACAATTTAAATAAATGCCACTTGCCAGCAAACACACAACAAAATGTTATTTCAAATAGTAAGAATTCA